AGATAGGGTACAGGCATACCTCATTTTATTGCACTTTACTTTATTGTGCTTCTAGATGTTGCATTTTCGTTGACATTGAGGCAAAACTTTCCATCAGCAAGAAGATCACAACTTCCTGAAGGCTCAGATTTTGGTTAGCATTTTTAGCAATAAAATATTTTTAATTAAGGTGTGTATATTGTTTTTTTTTTTTTAAACATAATGCTATTGCACACTCAACAGACTACCATATAGTGTAAATGTAACTTTTATATGCACTGGGAAATGAAAAAAAAATGTGTGACTCGCTTTATTGCGATATTCGCTTTATTGCAGTGGTCTAGAACAAAATCCACAATGTCTCCGAGGTCTGCCTATATTTGTTGAGCATGTCTTCTGGACATCACGATTACAAACTAGAGTGATAGCATCAACCATAAGGAGAGATGGCACAAACACATTGCAAGGCTCTGGGTGCCGTTTTCCTGTCACTTGTCCCCTGGCTGGGCTGAGATTATGAGACCAGGACTGATGGTATTGGCGGGAATGGGCTGAGAGTCTGGTGGACCTGGAGAATCCTGATGGTCTCCGTGGGCACAGGGTTCTTGCAATGTCACTCTGTACCCTTCTTTGAGAGCAGACAACTGGCTGAGTTTGAGTGTTTGACAGCCCCCTTATTTCTAGTCCAATGGCTGCAAGGATAGGGAGGGAACTCTGTCACCAACAAATGGAGTGGGAGGGACTTAGGAAGGGGCCTTAGGGGTAGGAAAGGCGGATGAGAAAAGTCAGCTTTCTTTCAATGGTATAGCGGAGGGAGGCCCTTGTTACAACGAGAGGTGTTCTGGCCTGTGGGGGAGGAAGGCCTCAAACGGATCAGCACTCAGTGATCAAAACTGATATAGGAGGGCTGACTGGGGTCCTCATCTAATGAGAGCCACATGACTTGTGGATGAAGCTTTCCTGGGAAAGGTTGAATAGAAACATGGGCCATCTGAGTCACACGGATACCAGGCGGGTACGAGACCTCCTGACCTCCCAAACCTGCCTGATGACAGTGTAGATATGAAGTGACAATTTTGTTTCACCAGACATCACACATTGTTTCATGGGACAGAGCTGTTCGGGGAGATGACAGAATTCTGGGATGGTAGTGGTGGTTGTCACACGGCAATTGCAGGTATACTCAGTGACACTTAAAAATGGTTAAAAGGGTAAATTTTATGTATATTTGACCACCATTAAAAAATCATACTTAAAAAAAAAACAGATAAGAGGGGTCAGGTGGGAGCGGGTGAGGGACAGCTGCTGAAGGAGGTGACCTCAGAGCTGCCTCAAGAAGGATGAGGAGGTGAGGGGTGATGGAGGCCATCCTGGGGAGAGGGAGCAGCATGAACCAGGGCCTAGAGCTGTGAGTGAGTAAGGGTTCTGGCTGTCTCAACACAAGCTGCCCGTCTGTGGGTGAGCAGTGGTGGAGACTGAGGCTGGGGCGGCGGGCAAGGCCCATAGGGACGACATGATCAACAGTTGTTCCTTAGGTTGTGTTTCCAAATACCAGCCTTTCTGTGTTTCCAAATACCAGCTTCCATGGCTTCTGTCATGGAAAACCATGTCCTCTAACTGAAGAGCAGGTGACCCCAATTAATATATGAAAATATGTAAAATATGAAACTAGGCAGTGTAGGTATGAGTTTCCGGTTAGTATTGTCTGCTCAGGGCTCTGTGGGGCCTACTCTCTCTTCTGAGTAAAATGAGATGAACTGTAGAATGAAAAGACATGAAAACAGTAATTTTCTCACCATGATTCAAAAAACCTGTCCTCCCCTTGGCACCCTGAGTGGCGATGATGGAGCTGTGGACAGATATGCTGAGCTGGGAATTTCCACTGTGTCCCCGCTGGCCCAGGTTGGGGGGCCTGACACAGTGGACCCTCCTCCCGCCCCCAGGCAGAGGCTGCCATGGAGCAGTGTGCCAGTGTAGAGAGACAGGTGGACAAGGTCCTACAGAAGTTTCTGACTATGGAGAGCACTGCGAACAGAACCTTGAGGAGCTGGGCCATGTGGGCCAGCTGCAGGCCGAGCTGGCCAGGGTAGGTGGGTGTCCCCTTGAGAGTCCCACTCCTGCCCCTCTGTGGGCCTGCCTAGGATACCCCGAGGCTACTTGGTGACAGGGTCATTTTTCCTGCTCTGTCATTCCTTATGTATTTATTACTTGGCATTCAACTAACTATAAGGAAGAAGTTTTCCCCTCTCCCTTATTTATTCATTTATTATCGATTCACACTCATAGATTCTTATTTTATTCAATGGGTAATCCATTACTGTTGTTATATAGTTCAATGCTCAAATTATTTTAGATTTGACCAGAGGTAATCCCTGGTTCTTATGTCTTTTTTTTTAAATTGAGCTATGATTCACATTAAAAAACACCATTTTAATGTGTACAGTTCAATATTTTTTAGTGTATTTACAGAGTTGTATAATCATTACCACGATTTAATTTTAGAACATTTTTATCACCACAAAACGAAAGTCACTCCATTTCTTCTCTCCTCTAGCCCCTGGCAACCACGAATCTACTTTCTGTGGCTTTACCTACTCGGGACACTTTTTTTTCCCTAAATAAAAACATAATTCTTTATTATTATATCTTTATAATTATATTTTTAAATCACAGAACTCTAGGCTGAATATCATTAGACATACACACACCTGGACACTTCATATAAATAGATTATATAATATGTGGCATTTTTATCCTTTTACTTAGTATAATGTTTTCAAGGTCCATCCCTATTGTAGCATGAATCAGTAGTTCCTTCTTCTTTCTGGGCTGGATCATATGGTAACTCTCTGTCTAACTCTTTGAGGAACTGGCAAACTGTTTTCCAAAGGTAGCCGCAACATTTTACATGCTCACCAGCAATGTAGGAGGATTGCAGCTTCTCCACATTCTAGCAGGTAGCTTATTGTGGTTTTGCTTTGCATTTCTCTAATGACTAATAATACTGAGCATCTTTTCATGTACTTGTGGGCTACTTATATATCTTTGTTGGAGAAATGTCTATTTAAATCTTTTACCCATTTTTTAAATTAGGTTATTTGTCTTTTTATTGTTGAGTTTGATACTAGACCCTTACTAGATATAGATTTGCTAATATATTCTATCATATCGGTTGTCTTTTCACTTTCTTGATAGTGTCATTTGGAGCACAAAAGTTTTTCATATTGATGAAGTCCAATTTCTTTTTTCTCTGGTTGCTTATGCTTTTGTTGTCATAGCTAAGAAACCATCGCCTAATCCATGACCATGAAGATTTACACCTCTGTTTTGTCTAAGAATTTTGTAATTTGGGTTCTTAAACACCTGGTCTTTGATCCATTTTGAGTTAATTTTTGTATATGATATAAGGTCCAGCTTCATTCTTTTGTATGTGGATAACGAATTGTCTCAGTACTGTTCTTTCTCTGCCTACGTCCTTTTGACATGGCCTATATTTTTATTTATTCTTTGTTATTGTTTTTAGCGCTTCTTTATTTTCTGGCACAATAAGATATTCCCTGGAATCAGTAATTTCTGCAAATAGCCATGGTTCTTTCAGTAGGAAATAGTATTTCGAAACCATGATCTGGCTTGTAATTAGAGTGTCATTGTTTTTAGGTTCTTTAGATCTCTTCCTCCCTCTTTCTTTTTCTTACATGGGTCTTACTCTCTCTCTCTCTCGTCCCTCCCCTCCCTCCCTTCTTTCCTCCCTCCATTTCTTCTTGTCGGTCAGTCCATCTATCTTTACCTATATATTGCACACCATGCATTTACGTTCATGCCTCCAATTCTAATCCAATGTCACAGGGTTCTTCCTAGACTCCTCCACCCATAGTGCTGTCTCTCTTTTCCTACATTGAGAAGCCTGACTCCCAGCATCATCAGTACATTTCTTATCTACTCAATTTCTACAATACATAGAAAGTATTTTCAGAATTGTTACACCTAGTGACCCTGAGAAGAACAAATCTACAAAGTAATTTCCTTTTTATTTTTTTAAGAATGCATGCACATGGAAAAGACTTCAAAGTCAAAAATGCTTACAGTGAAAAGTGAGTCTCCCTTTCATCCCCGATTCCCCGTTCCTGTTCCTAGTTTCTCAGATGCCTTCCAGGCAGCATCTGTGTGCGCACATAGGTGTCACGTATAAGTGTCTATTTTCCCTCCTTTTTGTACATACAAGGGAGCATAAAGCACATACTTTCCTGC